CAACGAAAGACGCCAACGGTCAGCTCGATTCACTTAATTATAAATCAAGGAAGGACTCATTCGTTGCATAGGTCATTCACAAAAACTTCAAAATTAGCCGTATACGAAATTTCTATATGAGAAAGGTCAAATTTACGCAAGATACATTCGACGAAAAGTTGGGGGCGATACTGAACGACTTCCCCATGTTGGACGTGCGTTTGCTTTTTTTTTCGATGTTGAAATAAAATTTACATTCAAGACAGGATTTACACCCTTTCCTTTCGTCTCTTATGAACGTTCTTTATGACAAAAATCATTACAAACTCGCCCTCGGTCAACTACGCACTGCTCAAAATCTTATTGACAATGTAGCGAAGGACTTTGTGAGACTGATCAAGTACGGTGACAGTCTGTATCGCTGCAAGCAGCTGAAAAGGGCTGCTCTCGGTCGGTGAGCAACTCTGTTCTTTTCTCTACTTCGTGAAGTACTGAGGCTTGCTGTAGGATGGCTACGATCATGCGTCGTCAAAAAGACCCCCTCGCATACCTAGAACAAGTGCGCCAACATATATCCCGTCTTCCTGCCATCGACCCCAATACTCGGACCCTTCTTATTTGCGGCTATCCCAACGTCGGAAAATCTTCATTCATCAACAAAGTCACTCGGGCCGACGTTGATGTCCAACCCTACGCTTTCACCACAAAATCCCTGTTTGTGGGGCATCTCGATTATAAATATCTTCGATGGCAGGTCATCGACACGCCCGGTGTCTTGGACCACCCCCTGGAGGAGATGAACACGATTGAGATGCAGAGTATCACGGCTTTGGCTCATCTGAAGAGCGCTGTCCTCTATTTCATGGATCTGAGTGAGCAGTGTGGTTATACGGTCGAAGCCCAAGTGAGCTCTGGTCAATTGGATCGTGACTGCAAATCGTCTAACATTGTTCTAGTGCAAACTGTTCCATTCCATTAAACCCCTCTTCAGCGGCAAGCCGACTCTCCTCGTCATCAACAAAATCGATGTCATGCGTCTCGAAGACATCCACCCTGACTCTCGGGCCCTTGTCCAAGAGATCATTGATTCTGAAGACGTGCAATGCGTTCAGGTATCATGCTACTCTGACGAGGGCGTGATGGAGCTTAAAAATAAGGCCTGTGAGGCTCTTCTCGCTCATCGCGTTGAGACCAAAATCCAGGGCAGCAAAATTAATTCTATCATTAACCGGATACACGTTGCGCAGCCCAAAGCGCGTGATGACGTGGTCCGTGCACCCTGTATACCGGAAACAGCCAAGAACAGGAAGAAATTCGAAAAGGACGATCCGGACAGGCGGCGATTGCAGAAGGATATTGAGTTGGAAGAGGGTGGACCTGGTGTTTACAACATCAACCTCAAACGTACCGTACCCCCTTCCCCTTTTCCAGCGTTGACTGATTATATCAACAGAGGACTACATCCTTACTAATCCCGAATGGAAGATGGACATCATACCCGAGATCATGGATGGCAAGAACATTGCTGACTTCATTGACCCGGACATTCTGGAGAAGCTCGATGCTCTTGAACGTGAAGAGGAGCGCCTGCAAACAGAAGGGTTCTATGACAGTGAAGCGGAGATGGTAAGCACCTCTCGCTTCCTCTTCTTGTCTCACACCTAAAGGGGCTTGTAACAGTACGACTCGGACGACGAACGCGAAGCCCAAGAAGCTAAAGTCGCCCTCTCACACAAGATTCACTCGCAGAGCATCAAGAAGAGCAAAAAGAACCAGGCTCGTATGCCTCGGACAGCGACGCTGCGGTCCCTCTCAGATTTGACGGAGGGGATGACCAAGGCAGGCTTGGACCCGAGTCGGATACAAGAGCGTGCAACGGTTCTGGCCAAGGTGGTGGGAGCGAAGCGGAAGAGGGCTGAGGAAGCTCAGATGGACGTCGACGATGGTGATGACATGGAGAATGACGGCGAGGACGATGATGGGATGGATGTCGATGGTGAGGAGAAGGTACCGGCCAAGCGCGTTAAGGGCAATTCTGGTGCTGTGGTGGCGATAGACAGACGGGCACCGAAGACGGATCGGCGACTGGCTGGTTTACGGGACGAAGGGGTAAACCTATCTGCTATGTTTTACGGTACTGCTTGCTCACGTATATTCAGCAAGCATCCAAAGCTGTCAAGCTACGGAACCTTGGACAGCGGCCGCGAAACCAACTTGCCAAAGCTGGAGAGAGCGATCGTGCAATCAAAGTCAAAATGGTGAGCAAACTATAGGTTGCAATGATACACACACGTCTAACCTTTCCTCTCAGCCAAAACATCTATTTGCTGGTAAACGTAAGGCTGGGAAGACCCAGAGACGTTAGACAGGCTCTATTTCTTTCTTACTCACCTGCGCCACAATTTCTCGTATTTAGATGTGTATTTTATAGTTGCAATTACGATAATCATTATTGCCGTCAAAGAACTGCGATCGTCATGCTCTCTCAATACACTAAAAAATGCAGTTGTGGGGAACAAAAAAAAAACAGGAAACAGATCAAAAAATTAGTGCTACAAGCTGGAACGCAGAACGCAGAACGAAGACTAGAATAATGATAGTAGCGTCAAAAAGTGCAATCAAAAACAAGAATGTCTAGAGTGCGTCTTCAGAGTCCCAACGCGAAATCTTACCCAAAGGGCGGTAGTAATATTGTTTATATTTCTTCGTTTCAGACCTTTTAGCCGGCCTAGGCATCATTGCCCTCATTAACGACGCGCGTTCCTGGTCTTCGTCCCGCTCCAGCACATAAAACCACTGCGCTTCTAGGGGGCGATTCGAGTCGTCCTATTATATCAGAGAGATTAGCGCCCAATAACACAGCCTCACAAATGTGCTCACCATGCCACTGCTTTCCACCTTACCGAACATCCCATTCACACAATGTGCCTCTTCTAGTATCCTCCTGATGGCAGCGATCCACTCCGGATCTTCTCGTTGCGATTTGAGTGCGGGGCGGTTCTGGATGACAGCTTTGTAGATGGAAGAGGCCCGATGCGAGGAAGCCCGTGATGTGGCCATGCTTTCGATGATCATACCGCATAGTTCGGCGTCCTCGACCGAGAAGTTCAAGGGAGGTGGGGGTGGTGGCTGTCGTTTTGCCGGCTCTTCATCCTCTTCGTCCGAGGATGAATACGACGGCTGTCGACGTCGACGCCGAGGAAGCTGGGCTTGCTTTCGCGGTTTCCTTGCTTTGGTCTTGATCTTCGTTTCGGATTTTGAGGCGGTCCTAGTGTTCTCGTCGTCTCCAACAGCGCCTGAAGACGTCGAATGGCTATCCAACCGAGCCTTTTTCTTCTTCGGACCATCATCTTGACCCTTTTTGCGCTTCTCGTGCCCCATCGTTACTGCCGCGATATCGTCAACTCCATTCTTCTCCTTCAGCGTGACCTCGACCACCTGATCTTGCATCTCTAGAACCTCCTGCTTCGTCGGAACGTCACTAATGTTGACAACCTGCTCTCTGGCAACATCGTCCGATAAATCTTCCTTGAGCACGGCAGAATCTTCAATACTGGCATTCACATCGGTATCGGTTGCAACAGAGAGAGCTGGGGGTGGAGGGACCAGCCGTTGGTCCTTGTCGAACAAACCTCTGTCGGAACTCGGAGATGAGGGTGCTGATATGACGGCGGTGATTGTATCCAACTCGGCCCCACATTTGATCGACATTTCTGGTATCATGAATGGAGGAATTTCATATTTGGTCTGGACCTGTAAGGGTGAGGCTTGTAAACGATAACAAAGCTCCATGGGCCAAGACACGTACAAGTGGCGACAAAGAAGGGTCTGTGGCTACCGGGAGGTGAATACCCTCGACGTCGGTGTCATCCGAGCGAAGCGGAGAAATGATAACGGGCGACAGTGGAGGTAGAGCTGAAACACTTGATGGTGATGTAGGGCCGATCATTGGCGATACAGAAAAAGACATTGGTGACAGAGGTGGTGACGAAGGGGGTAGTGGTGAGTAGGGTCGATTATCATCATCTGGCATCTCTGATTCCGATGTTATTAGTTCTGAATCAATATCGGCATCATATGAAGCTTGTCTGTCATCCGACTCTGGGGACAATTCAAAGGTAAAATCCAAATCCTCGCGGCTGGAGTGGTTGGGGTTCATGGAGAATTCTGCTGGTTCAGAGGCGAGTCGTCTGTCAGGACTTGGTGGGACTGGGCGAGACGAGGTAGGCATTGAGTTGCGCTGGTGATGCGAAGGCGGCGGCTGAAAAGGTATAGGGTCATTCTTCCATTGGCCCCGCTCTTCAGATACCCGGAAGAACGTAGCCCTGGGCGATGTTTCGACAACTTCGTCTTCCGGATCATGGTCCTCCTCTTCGCTATCTGTATAGAAAACAGAGGCATGACTTGGGGGCACGCTGCTGACTGTGTCGTCGTGAATGCAGTGGGTGTTGGCGACGTCAGGATACTCTTCCACATCAGACATGGGTGGTGGTAAGTCTCCAAACATGGAATGGAAACTTGGTAGCTTGCACGGAACTTTGGGATGAGGAAATTTGATAGGATGCAGTTCCCTCCGGAACCAATTCGACGCGCCGTTGCTCGGATCGTGAACGTTGATACAATACCCAGGACTGGGACTTGACTGTACGCGAGCTTGATACTGAGAATAGCCGGAATGCGGCGATGTTGGTGGAGACGACGAGCACGGTGGGGATGATGAGGGAGAGGAATATTGGACGCGATGACCTGTCCACCATTTCCAGGCCGACACAGAAGGGAAGGACATGACGGTTGGTGATAAGATGCAATAAGGTCACGTGAAACGCGTGTCAGAATCAACGCGTTTAGGTGTGAATTCAAGCTCCGCTCGGAGTTTCTCCGGTGATCGAGATGATGTAATCAAGATCGCTGCTCCTCCATCCCGTCTTCCGCGCTTCGGGATGCTTGTTTCCATCGGTCTTTCCCTAGTAAAATTAGGAACAGTGAGGGGACTTGCCAGTGCACAACATAAATAAAAAGTATGATCCCTAAGCGAGTTGAACGCTTGACCTTGTGGATACCCAAAGAGAACACAGACTGGAATCACACGCTCTACCACTGAGCTAAGGGATCTCGTTGATCTCAACTATTCTCATTTAATTAAGCCCAACTTCCTATATCAGATTGCTCGTTGGCCATGGAATAAATTCGAGGTTCGAAACCAATGCCCGACTTGCATCGGGTATATCTGTTCTCACGCTATGATAAACAGAATCTCATCCGTCTTGAACCGCGCTACCGGTCTAGTGGGCATCGTACCTGTGCGACATGTACGCAGGACCATCCGATCCGTCACTACAGCATCACACCGTTCGGCTATCGTCACCGGCGCCGGTCAAGGAATGTGGGTCCCAGCCATACTCGATGGCGTATTATCTGACTATCCACTGACTCTACACCTTCCGAAGTGGACGAGGAATAGCTCTGCGCCTCGCCCGAGACGGCTTTGACATCTGCGTTAACAATCTTTCATTGAATGCTAACCAGGTCAAAGCAGTAAGACCCTCCGTTATCTTACCTCTCTTACATAGTAATACTTCCATGCAGGTAGTAGATGAGATCACTTTGCTCGGCGGACGCGCCGTTAGTGCCTTCGGAGATGTATCCAAACGTGCCGACGTAGAGGAGATCGTGAAGACATCCGTTGATACCCTCGGACCTCTCACAGTCATGGTCGCCAACGCAGGTATCGCTCGCTCCAAGCCCATCCTCGATATAACCGAAGGTGACCTTCGACGAATATTCGAGGTGAACGTCATGGGGGTTTTCAACTGCGGTACAGTAGCTGCGAAGCAGTTCATGAAGCAAGGAACCAGTGGGAAGATTCTCAACGCTGCTAGGTAGGCCCTCTAGCTTAATGGCAGTTACCTTCTCATCCGAATCTTCTGCAGCGGGACATCATTCCGAGCAGACCATCTCCTCGCACATTACAGCGCTACGAAAGCCGCGGTGCGAAGCCTAACACAATCTTTCGCCATGGAGCTTGGCCGTCATCGTATCACCGTTAACGCCTACGCCCCTGGAATCGTGGCGTCACCCATGTGGGAAGAGATCGACAGGGGAATGAGCGAGATAAACGGTCTCCCGATAGGCCAGAATTTTGTCAGGTTTACCAACTTGATTTGTTTAGGACGGACGAGTGTACCAGAAGATCCAGCAAAGTTGGTCTCGTTTTTAGCGGGTCCAGATTCGGATTATATGACTGGACAGACTATTGTGATTGATGGAGGGAACGTGTTTGTGTAGTAAGCGTTTTGATAATTGGTGGAAAGGATCTCCCCGATATGGAGAGGTACGTACTTATAGTTAGGTGAATATTATATCATCCGAGGGCGATTTTGGAGTACCTGATACATGGCCCACGGGGTAGTAGCTGTAGGTGCGAGGTACAGTGACCTAGGGCACGGAGGTCATAAGAGCAAACGTAGCAAAGATATTTCTGCTTGGACCTACGATGTCAGTCAATATTCAATATCAGGACTTGATACGAGGTTTAAAGCACCGGAAAGCAGAAAATGATGGACCGTAGACTGATGACACTAAGTGCGATGGGATGAAGCTGTAGTGCCAACTGTAGTGGTACCATCACTTGGACTTGAGGCGAGGCTTTCGAAGATATCTATATTATTAGAATTCTCCTAGCCTCCTGCTTAGGTACGCACAAGACGTCCGTGTAATCACAAACTTGAAGCGCTTTGGGAGCATGCTTTGAACGAAACCTAGTATCAGGGAGGTTGAATGATTCCGATAAGCAAATGAAGATGGAAACCGAGAGATAGATGAGACGTCTGATACTTATAACGGCGAACTTACTCCAGATGAGGATTTGGGCGGGGCCCTCGTCTGAGGGTCTTAAGTGTGCGGTAAGACTGCAAGATAACAATTCACGAAAATTGAAAGGCCCCCTCTGAGATACAATGGTAAGTACGTACCAGACATGATTATGTTAGCGTCATTCCATCCGGGGAAAACCTGGGTCAGAGAAAGCAACGTTGGCATCATGATGAAGAGTGGTAATGCTGCGGACTATAAATCACTCGTAACAAAGGGCATAGGTGCAAAAAAAAAAAAAAAACAAGGCATACTTAGAGCAAGTAAAACGGGTCACTAACCAGGTCGGTCCGAGTGAAAAGCGAAAGGTGCAATGATCGGCAACGCGTCAACCCGACATCGCAGCCAAATTTCATGGGAACGCGGTCGTAGTCGCCCGTTCTCTGCCAGCATGATGAATGGTTAATTCACGCATAAGTCCCGAGTGCTGCAAAATTACGCGTCTTGTCTTACCCTGGCCATCGTGTGCCATTACTGCAGGGAACAGCGCGGCTGGTTCATAATCGGTAAGCTCCCGACACACCCGCCGGTGCCTAAGTGAAACTTAGGAGATTGCCAAGGCTAACACGCGATGAAGGTGTACAGTGATTTTAGTAAGGAGATGAAGATGCGACTGAAGATAGATTCTCAGTGGGCACGGCTGGAATGAATAAGATACGTCTCAATGGGCAAGAAGTACAAAAGAAGAGTTTATCAGCTCAGCCAAATCGGATGCGCAGCAGGGTCCTCGTGTGTCCAACATGGTGAGAAGGTGGGGATATCATTCGATGGGTCCTGGCCAGAATGGATGATAAAGCACTTGAAAGTAGCGCGCGGTCGACGCGAGCAGCGCTGAAAAATATTGTCATACAAAAATAAGATGCTAGCCACAATAATTAACAATTAAAAAAAGAGACCAAAGGCTTTTTTTTTCTTTCTGGGCGTATTCCAAAGGCCAGTTTACTGAATAGAGACTAAGACATGATGATGAGAGTTTCGGGAGGAAGGCACGTGCACAGGATATAAATCTGTTCCTCACGTCACACGCTGCCGCAGAACAGGTTTCCGGTTTTCATCTGTGCTTGGCCACAGGCTCTTCCATTCCCTTCCTCACGACTGCCATGTTCCTTGTCCCCGTCTCCTTACTTTTCTTTATTCTTTTCGTCTCTGCAGAGCCCGTACATGTCTCCATAAGGAACAGCGGCGCCCGTGAAGTTGATTACGCAGCTGCTGCGGATTCCCTCAGGGCAAAGTACGGTTATTTCCCCGCATTCCAGAGCCGGCGGGCTGGAAAAAGGCAGAGTACTGCTGGTATTGGTATTGTGGATCAAGTGTGTCGCCACTTAATTGCCCAAAGCTAAGGCCCTGAGCTAACCTTCCCCTTTGAAAGAACACTGATGCGAGTTATTTTGCGACTGTCAACATTGGAACGCCGTGAGTGTCATTTCCACCTGGTCGACGTCGCAGAGCAGGTGGCGCATATGATAGACGGCCCCGGCTACGGCGTTGACAAAAATTAAACGAGTTCCCGCTCATCGGCAGCGCATTCTGTGCCTCACTCTGACGCCACGATCGTTCTGGGAGCCCAGTGGTTCTCTTTTTCAATTTCGGATGTTTCTGACATCTCTCCAGGGCCCAACCGTTCAATGTGATTCTCGACACAGGTTCTGCGGATCTCTGGGTTGCCGACACCAGTTGTTTGAGCTGTTCTTCTTCGACACCTTTGTTTGACTCACAGTCATCGTCGACATTACAAACGGCGTCCGGCGTCAACTCTCAGACGACCATACGTTATGGCTCGGGGGCCGTGGCAGGAACGCTCTCATCTGATAAAGTGTCAATGGGAGGTTTCACCGTAAACCAGCAAACTTTTTGTGCGTTAAATATTCTCTTATGCTTTCAAATACTGACCTTGTTGCAGTGGCTGTTGATCAGACAACAAGCAGCTTGTTAAGCGGTTCCGTGTCTGGTATCATGGGACTCGCTTTCGAACGGATTGCTTCTACACAGGCAACGCCCTTTTGGCAGGCCCTCGTCGCTGGAAACCAGTTGACATCTCCGGAAATGAGCTTTTGGCTTGCCCGGCACCGTGGTGAAACCAGTGTACAATCAGAAGAATCTGGAGGCGTGTTTACGCTAGGAGGAACCAACTCCACCTTATTTACGGGAGATATTGAGTTTTTGAACATGCCCGTATCGACGCCGTCATTTTGGCTTCTAGAGCTCCAAGGCAAGTTCTTATCGTCGTCTACGCGTTCGGGCACCACCTGATTCGCGTTTCAGCTCTCACCGTCCAAGGGAAAAGCGTCGCTTTAACCACGAGCGGAACCACGGCATTGTCTGCGATCGACACTGGAACCACTCTGATTGGTGGCCCGTCCGAAGACGTCGCTGCCATATGGGCTCAGGTTGAGGGTGCCCAACAGGCCCGCGGACAGCAAGGGCTGTACACGTTCCGTGAGCGGCCCGTTTTCTCTTACATGTCCCGGGCACTGACGTTTGGAATAATGATTTTTCTCAGCATGTAGCACCAACGTCCAAGTGACAATGTCGTTTGGTGGCAAGTCGTGGCCGATCAATAGCCAAGACATGAATTTGGGGCCCGCGACCACTGGCAGTAGTATGTGTCTTGGGGGAATATTTGACCTCACTGCCGGAAGCAACATCCCGGAAGGAACTGGCAACCCGGGATGGGTTGTTGGTGCGACGTTCTTGGTCAGTGTCCACATTTATCGACGTCGTAGTATGGGCTAAAACTTTCGGCGTAGAAAAACGTGTACTCAGTGTTCAGAGACTCGAATCCCCCGGCAATTGGATTTGCCCAATTGTCGAGTGCAGCGGGGGGATCAGGTGCGGGCCCCTCCTCCAACTCTTCTAAACCATCCCTCACCTCGTCGGCTCGGACTACCACAGGCACCCCAGGAGCGGCGCCAAGTGGAACGTCGGCTACTAACAGTAATGCGGCGGCAGTGGTCAATATACCTGGGAGAGTAGGCCTATTGATTCCAGGACTGGCGGTCCTGTCTTGTTTCTGGTTTTTATAATTAAAGGACTAACTTGTCTGCAATCGCTATTTGATAATAAACGCGTACCAGTAATAATAGTGATGTTTTTACGTACACTGCTTGGTATGTTCTAAAAAAATGGCTGCTAAGCTGCCCTGAATGATTCAAGAATATCAAGTAAATATATGAGATTCTGGTAGTGTTATCGAGAATGGTAAAAAGCAACGAAAAGATTGGCGCTGGTAAATGTTGACGTGA